AGCTCCTCTCCTCAGCCATATGCGCTAAACCAGTGGCCGCAGGAGACAATGTCATCTGAGTGACATAGGTAGGGAACACAGTTTATCTGTCTCTGAGGGAGATGGTCGGTTTAGAAATAGGAAATATAAATAAATAAAATCTAAAGCGCTTGCATGATGAACACTCTTTCCTGGATGCTTGAATGGAACTTAGCAGGCATTTTTCTGCCCTGACTAAAACCTGAATCCAATTCCTCCAACGGAAACAACTATGTGCAAACTGAGGGGGCTAAATGCATGCGACAAAGCTTACACTGAGTTACAAAAAAAATCACACCTGTTAATATATTATGCAATGCTAGGTTTTAAGCATAAAGGGATCACGTTGGGGGAAAATAGTCTATTATCATTTCAGTATAAAAAGGGATTTAGCATCAAAAGCAGGGGTAAAGAGGGCATACAAACTATGATTACTGCTTTTTAATATATACAAATGGCACTAGAGTCTTTAAGAACAAAGATTTATTGCTTTTTTTATTACCTTTCCTTTTAGGAAGAGGTGGTTAAAAATTAATTGAAGCCTATCTAGTGTCTCACCAAATACAGAAGTTTTAGTGTCAGTACCTCATTGTTGGTGGCATATTTCTCACATGCAGTGACACATAATTCCATGGCCTCGACTCGCATTTCTTCCGGCATGTCTGAGTGCTGGGAAAAAATTACAAGCATAGAGGATCTTGGTCAGTATTAAGCCAGGATTGGTTATTGCATAACATTAAATCAAAATCAGGTAGTAAGACATGAAGAATGGAAGGATTCAAATCCCTTTCACTAAATTTGCCTTTATTCATTACAGACAATTAAGCACCAAGAATACAAGTCTACAGACTTTCTCCCCAGTAATCCTTGTCTACGCCATACACTCTAGTTTCAGATAAAATCCTTCTTTCTCACACAAATGTCACACAAAGGGGGAAAGCTTCACATGTGCCACTTTATCATGGTTAATGAAGAAACTATCACACCTCTCTCTTGCAGCCATCTGTGCTAAACTAGTGCCTGCAAGAATCATTTTTGTCTTCTTTAATGCGAACAGTCCATAAGGGGTTTCTTGTTACCAATAAATGCAATATTGTCTTCTCTCCAATCAAACAAGTCAATTTAGCCTTTTCAGCATATTGATCACGTTCACTAACCATTCCTCCATTGTAGTTACCACCAATTTTTTCCCCATTTTCGTGCATACAAAAATCTTAAGCCTGACTTTTGACCTTACTTAAGGCCTTGGAATGAATCTCTTAGGCCAGCTTTAGAATGAGCCACATTTCATCACTCAAACATGGAGGGGAGAGTAGACTCTCCTTGATCAGAAAACTTCACAAGCATTATGTAACACACACAAAGAAGTGTCAGCTTGCTTGGGCCTATAGCAAAGGTTTCTTCATCATAGATACACTATAAAAACATGGTTAGATATCGTACAAAACAGTCATGAAAGATGATGATGCTTACTAAGCTATGAGGGACAGAAATGCACATTTTGATCAAGGGTGTCCTGTATACCTTGGGTAATCAGATTTTCGCAGATAAACTAATAATTCTTCAGTCACTATGGCAACTACCAGTAGTTCTCTCCATCCTTCCTCTCACTTTCCTGGTTAGATTTTGTGGCAAATTTAAGATATAAAAATGGCATTAAATTTCAGTATTTTCTGATTCGGAATATATCATCTTTCTTCATTTCCATTCTTACCCTAATCAGTGGGAAGCTGTGAAGTCTCTTATAATCTGCTTCTTCTTTTTTCCCCTCCCCAGTGTCTGCCATTGTTTGTCCACTGTGACTTCAAGTGGGGGCAGAATATCTTGAAGGGAACCAATCACGTGTAGGCTAGCAATGTGAGCTCAGGTCAGTTTTGGAAAAATACCTTATGCTATGTAGAAAAATAAAGAAAAAAAAACAATATAGCATAATATTTAGAATATAATACAGGCAAATCCTTTTAAGAGAATAAAATTAAGTGGTCATTTATATGACAATTACATTTGTCTACCGTTTCTTTTATTCTTACTAATATTGTTAAACTAGGCAGGCTTCAAATAGTAACAGTAACAAAATATTTGAATTATGGTGACTGTGATGATCTCTGTTTATTCATTTGTTTAAATTCCATATTGGGAGTCAGAGTTTCAGAAGAGTTTCAGAGCAAGTCATTTTTTACTCTTTCAGATAAGGAACTAGCTCTCTTTTCCCCCCAGTGGAATTAACAGTTAATCACTTGGCCAAACTTGTGTAGTCACATATATTTTAAAGATTTAAAGTGTATTATAAGAAGAAGAAAATCTCTTCCTGGAGAATCTATAAATCAGCTCTCTTTAGAGTAAGAGACACTGATTCAGAGGGGACATTAGTATATTTCAGTGTAAGCCGGTTTCAAATAATGAATTACCAAATCACCAAGACATTCTGTAGCTCCATAAAAAATAATGGAAGGTGTGAATAAGTAAGAATTAATCAACTTTCTGGGCACAAAACTGGGTGATATTAGAAGGATGTCAATGTGCTGCTTTCCTTCTAAAAATATCACACAATATCATTCAGTATGCTGTTTACAGGCAACATAGATACTCTGTACACTTGACATATGATACATTTGAAAAATTTCTGAACTTTGACTGCAAATTGTAAAAAGCCACTACTAAAGGATAAACAGCAAGATAAATAAAAAAACAAAAATGTATAAGTAATTCTGCCTTCTTGGAAGACAAAATGTAAGAGACCTCAAAATCTGGAAGGAAATACCATCTTGCTATCCAAATGCTGGAACCTTAGGCAAATAATCTTCCATTACTAACAAAAATTATGCTAATGTTAAGATATTTTTTTGGTGTCTTACAGGAAAAGTGATTTTGGAGGTACTAGGGTCTTAGCTAGCTTATCTGTTGCTCTTTTTGAGGACATTTAAATAATGATCTTCTTAAATATTGTAACTGTAAAACTGTGTTGCCATATCTTTGTATAAAAGATACTGTCTTGTATCATTGTATCATTCTTTTCTTGCTATGTTGTTTTTTAATTATTCTGTAAGCCAACCATTTCAATAATCTTGAGACATTAAAACTGCATTGCCTCCAAGTAAATTATCCCAGTGGTTTCACCTGTAAAATTAGTGAAACGCGGTTTCACCAAGTACCAACTGTAGTGAAAACTATACTGTGTGTTAATAACTTCCAACCATTCAGTTATTTTGAAACCCATAGCCAGGGGTTAGAGGTGTTGGCTCATCTGTGTGTTTAGATATCATGCAAAATATATGTCATAGTAACTTTTGATCTGACTATCACATGGAATCAAAATCAATCCAATGTCCTATTGAGGCACAATCAAAAGATCCATTTGGGTCACTTGATTTTGGAACCCTTTAATTTAGAATGACTTGTCAAATATTAAGGGAAAAAAAACAACAAGATTCTGTTGTCCCTTTCATTGCTAAGGAGAATAGCTCCTTATCACTTGTTGTTGTTAGTTGTGAAGTCGTGTCTGACCTATTGCAACCCCATGGACAATGTTCCTCCAGACCTTCCTGTCCTCTACCATCCTCTGGAATCCATTTAAGCTCACGCCGACTGCTTCAGTGACTCTATCCAGCCACCTCATTCTCTGTCGGTCCTTTCTTCTTTTGCCCTCAATCTTTCCCAGCATTAGGCTCTTCTCCAGTGAGTCTCCCTTCTCATTAGGTGACCAAAGTATTTGAGTTTCATCTTCAGGATCTGGCCTTCTAAAGAGCAGTCAGGATTGATCTCCTCTGGGACTGACCGGTTTGATCGCCTTGCAGTCCAAGGGACTCACAGGAGTCTTCTCCAGCATCATAGTTCAAAGGCCTCAATTCTTTGGTGCTCAGCCTTCCTAATCCCTTGTAGTTCTTTATCCCTTATAGTTCTTTATTCCTTATAGTTCATACCTATATCAAGTGACAAAGCCTGCTATTTTATTTATTTATTGTCTTTATTTATTAGTTCAATTTATATGCCGCCCTTCTCTGGAGACTCAGGGTGGCTTACAATGCGTTAAGCAATAGCCTTCATACTTTTTGTATATACCTGCTTAGTAGGGCTTTTGGCACTCCCTAAGCGGTGTTTTTTTTATATATACTAAGTCAGCTTATTGCCCCCACAAATCGGGTCCTCATTTTACCTACCTTGAAAGGATGGAAGGCTGAGTCAACCTTGAGCCTAGTGAGATTTTGAACTTGCAGTAATTGCAGGCAGCTGGTGCTATTTAACAGCCCTTTAGTCTGCTGCGCCACCAAGGCTCTTTATCCCTTATAGTTCCTACCTATAATCAAGTGACAAAGCCTGCTATTTTATTCATTAAAAAGTACATTTCCAGACCCACAAAGCTTTCTTATTTATGCAAGGGTTGGGCTCCAGCTACTCATTTCGTGGGGCAAACACACCCACTCTCTGCACAGGCTCAATGGTTCTCACACCCTGCTGCTTCCCACGCGATTCAAGGCCGGCGGGAGAGTAAACCGTCTCTATAGAGACCCAGCCCTAACCGAAGGCATGCCTAATATACCTTAAGTGACAATCCGAATTTCCTCCCACGCACCTCCGAAAGGAGCGGCGAGGAAGAACCGCAGAGCCGGCTGAAACAATGATTCGGCTGCCTTCCTTCTTTTAGAGCCCAGGCGAGCCGCTTCATCTTCCCGAGCCGCCCTGCTCAGATGCTCGCCTCCGCCCGCCGATCATACACGGGCTGGAATGTGGGACAGTCCCACCCAGCCGCTCTGGAGAAAGGCGTCCTCTAAGACCCGGCTAAAAAAGCAGCGGCGGGCGGCACTCTCGGGAGGACCAGACCCGCCAAAGGAAAGGCGTGGGGACGGTGAACGCCGCCCGGTCCGAGGAAGAAGCGAGAAGCGGCTCCGTCCACGCCGGGAGCCCCAAACGAGCACTCGGCGGTACGTCTCACCTGCGTCACCTCGACCCCGAGCCCCCCAAAGCCAGCCTCCTCGCCGTTGTTAAGGAAAGAAACGTGCTTGTCTTAGCAACCGGCGCCGGAAGTCCCGCCTTCCAGCTTGCCATTGGGCAGCGGTAAAAGGCGGAGGGCACGGATAGGGTGCAAGTATTGCCTGTTATGCGAAGGGGGTCCTAAGTCACCTCCACAATTTAGTTGGGACATGGACTGATAGGTGTCCACAATCTGCCTGAAGAGATTAGTGGAATAAGTTTGAGAGGGAGAGAAGTTTCTCTCCGTTTCTTAATTTATCCGTTGGAAAACTAGAGGAGAGTTTCGTGCGAAGATGTAATTACGGCATTACGTAGATAGCACAATGGAGAGGAGGTATAGGCTTTTGTTCTCCCAAAGGGAGTTCATTGAGTGCTCTCCTTCTAGACACAACCCAAACTACAGATTATTTTGTTCTACTTTATTCTTGGAATTGGAATTGGAATTGGGGGGGGGGATATCATCAAGGGGAGTAACAGAAAGCTAGTTATCAATGAGGCCTGGATTTTTTAAAATTAAATAGATTGATTTGAATTTAAAAGGTCACTTTCAAGCAAAATAAAAGAAGGTTAAAATTAAAAAGGAATAGGAAGAAGGGTTAACATGTCCTGATCATATAAATGGAAAACGTAAATATACTGGCTTGCCATTTATAAGATTCAGGAAAATGTGACCAAATATTCCTGCATATATTTTCTTTGCTTTTATATTGGTGTAAAAGTTCAAACAAGGGGGGAAAAGGAATATTATTATATAAGTAAATAAACAACTTTTCGAATATTTTTGAAACAGCTCTTGTCTAGCTGTATGCATATGGTTTCATGTGTAGATCAGTGATTTTGAATAGTAGAATATGCATCTTCTGTTGAATAGTCTCCCAATATTTTTAAATTTGCACTTCTTGGACAATATAACAGTTAATGATTTATACAAATCTTTGGAAAAGTATATGAATTTTGAAAGCTGGAAAACTTACAGAAAGTTAAAACAGAAGGGGCATTTGATACTGGTAATTATAGTGAAAGGACATATTGACACTAATCAATCTAATCTTTGCTGTTTGCTTCTATTAAGAATTGCTTGTGCTATTTTGCTACAGTTAGGAATTATTTGTTAGGAATTAATTCTGTAAACCTCGAATTGTATCCTTTGCTATTTGGTATCTCACTTCTGTTATTTGCTTCAAAGCTAGGCACATCCTAGAAGATGGAAGAAAAACAGTTACCCAGGATCATCATAAATGGGGCCAGAGAAGAGGCTGCCTAGGAGCACTAACACATAAGGCTACAAGGGATGCTCTGTAAGATAACAAAGCATGGACTGAGCATGGACAAAGAATGCTCCATGGATAAGGAGGGCATGGGCAAGACATTACCCATGTTAGGTAACAAACGTTTGTCTCTGATTGGTTAGATTTGGATATAAGATATTGTGGCTATACTCACTTAGGTGTGGCTTTTCTCCTTGCATGTTTGTTGTCTTTATGCATATGGAATAAGTCTACCCAGCTCTTCTTTGTACAAATAAAAGCTGTTTTTTCCCCAAGTCTCTTCTTGAATCTCATTTTGGCATTCTGGTGACTCAAGTGCAGTTTTTGGACCTTACAATAGTATTTTGATATAAATATATGGCAGACAGAAGTAATTGACTACAAAAATAATTCTATTATTATACAAAAGTGAAGTGGACTGAAATCTCAGAAGCTGTTATTTTAAATGATGCTTTAATCCAAGGGTGGCCAGATGCCTCAAACGTAGGCCAGCTCCGCGAAGGGAAAAATCATTGCAATAACATCACATGACAGCAACATGATGCGGCGAGAGTGACACCCGTGCTTTAATCCAATGGAGATCCATAAAATAGCAAGATGAATTGAGATCAAAATCTTAGAACCAGAGTTGGTGATGGAGCCAAAAAGGGCAGTGTGGTGACTCAGCGGTTAAGGTGCTAGACTTTTCAGTGAAAAGCCAGCAGGTCAGGTTCGAAATCCGAGCATCACCTGATGGGGTGAGCTCGCCCCAGCTCCTGCCAACCTAGCAGTTTGAAAGCATGCAAATGCGAGTAAATAAATAGGTACCACTTCTGTGGGATGGTAACAGTGCCCCATGATGTCATGCTGGCTACATGATTGCAAAAATGTCTTTGGACAGCAGTGGCTCAATTGCCTTGAAACGGAGATGAGCACTCCCCTAAGTCGGCAATCACTAATGGAGTAAAATCCATAGAGACTCCTTTACCTTTTTATAATTTTCTGTAACAAAAATTATACTTTGCACATGTAGCTGCTGCTATTCCTATGCAAATATGATGCATTTGGTTGCATTTTCTCAGATGGTTTCAGAAGAAAAGGACACCCATTGAATTGTTGCTGATGTCGCTTACCATATGAGCAGTGGTGGGATTCAAGTTATTTAACAACCAGTTCTCTGCCCTAATGATTTCTTCCAACAACCAGTTTGCCAAACTGCTCAGAAAGTTAACAACCGGTTCTCCCGAAGTAGTGCGAACTGGCTGAATCCCACCACTGCATATGAGCCTCCAATTGATCAAGGATTGCAACATGGTCATCATGTGGATTTCTACTCTGCCATTTTAAAGAAACAAGTGTTCACCAGGATAAATTTTACACTTGGCGGGCTTTAAATGTCAAAAATCAGGACGCAGGATGATTTCTCTGTATTTTTGTTACGCAAGGCAATATAGATTAACGGAATTTTTGTTCCAACACACCCAACAACAGTAGTTCATGAATTGCGAAATCTATGGTGCCTTTGGAAGACAGTATAGGTTGTCCTTGACTTACAACCATTCATTTAGTAACCATTCGAAGTTACAATGGCACCAAAAAAGTGAATCGTGAGTTTTTCACACTTCCAACTGTTGCAGCATCCTCATGGTCACGTGATCAGAATTCGGATGCTCGGCAACTGGTTCATATTTCTGATGGTTGCAGAACCCCAGGTTTATGTGATCCCCTTTTGCGACGTCTGACAAGCAGTGTCAATGGGGAAGCCGCATTTACTTAACAAATGTGCTAATAACAACTGCAGCGATTCACTTAACAACTATGGCGAGAAAGGTCATAAAATGGGAGCAAAACTTAGTTAACTATCTTGCTTAGCAACAGAGATTTTGGGCTCAATTGTGATTGTCAGTTGAGGACTACTAGTACTGTGGAACCATAGAGTGTAGCTAGCTGATGAAGTCTTTTGGTGACTATTTCAACATGTGTGAAGCATATTATCATCTTCACCAGTTGCAATAAAGTTGTTGAATGAATTTTGAAATACTTGAAGGCATGTTGATTGATTTGACATGAGAGTAGCCCTCACTGGGGACAGTGCTCCTACTGTCATCTGTGCTTTAGACATATCTGAGACCTGACCATTGCCTCAATCATCTGAATCTTCCTTGCAAGTTCTACTGCTTTCTTTATCAAGGCTAAAATTCCCTCCAAATCTGAGTCGGACACACATTCATGTTTTTTCTTGGCAACCATATAAAATGACTTGGCATTTATTTTATTATTTTTTATTAGTCATATTTCTATGCCGCCCACTGTCCGAGGACTCTGGAGTCTACTTTGGTAGTATACCAAAGACAGTATACTAAATAGCATATTGCCCGCAACAATCTGGGTCCTCATTTTACCCACCTCGGAAGGATGGAAGGCTGAGTCAACCTTGAGCCGGTGAGATTTGATCCGCTAATCTGCTGAACTAGCAGTCAGCTGAAGTAGCTGCAGTACTGCACTCTAACCACTGTGCCACCTCGGCTCAATTTGCTTCTTCTCTGTTTTTTATTTTTCCATTTTCGGAGTTATTGTTTGGATTCCCTGATGAGTAGTCTTTTAAGCTCTAACAAGGGTCAATCTTGCTTAGTTCGACCGCAAGATCAACTAAAATCAATTAGGTGCTGCAACATTTGTTCTGTGTGAGAGAGAAAAGAAAGGAAAGCTGAGTGTGTGGATTGTTATGAATATGTGTGATTGTAAATGGACTATAATAGTTTTTTAATTTAAAATGTTGATCTATGGAACAAAGCAGTGGGTATATAAATTCAAATAATAAATAAATAGAGAACTAAATAGAGAAAGACAGAAAGAAGAAAGGAAGGAAGGAAAGAAAGAAGGAAAAGAGAAAGGAAAGAAAGAAGAAAGAGAAAGAAAGAGAAAGAAAATGAAAAAGAAAGAAAAAAGGAAAGAAAGAAAGAAAAAGAAAAAGAAAGAAAGAAGAAAGAAAGAAAATGTGGAGAGAAGATTTTTCTGCCTCTTCTTTTTGTAAGAACATAAGAACTTAAAATAATGGGATCCAATTCTGGTCCTCTCCTTTACTCACAGATCTCTTATACCATCACTTGCTCAAAATCTGTTTTTCATTTTTAGAAAATTTATTTAAACATTTATACTTCACCTTTTTGAATATCATGCATTTTAAAAGGCAACTAAAAAAATCACAAAAATACAGTAACATTCAAAGAAGTTGCTTTTCTTTCAAGCACTATGCATCAGGTACTGGATCACAAACTTCAAGGTTTGATGTGAAAACAGTTGCAGTATTTGGAGCTGCTGTATGGTTGGTTGAGTGATTCTGTTTAACGAGGGGCAACACTGAGCTGATAGGATTTGGGGGCAACTGTCAGAAATCCAGCTGTTGGTGATGTATCAAGGTCATCAGGACCCCCCAATGGCTTCAGAGTAATATGCTGCAAAATAGTTGTCAGGACGATAAATATTAGGATGTCTATCAATTTCTTGCCTAGACAAACCCGCTTGCCTGCAAGGAAAAATGAGGAAAGAATAATTGATTTGTGGCAGCTTGCTTAAAAGAGTAAAATGTCCAACAATGGGGATATGAGATATAACAGACTTAATACAGGGGAAAGCCCCAGACATTTAATAGCTATTTTTGACATTTAAGGTAATCCTTTCTACATTCATTTAGAAATGTGTTTGGCTACTTTTCTATTTCTGCTTTCAAAAAAATGTGAATAAAATATACAGTTGATCTAGAAAAAGCATAAGCATTAACATGATTTTCTCCCTTGATTTCAGCTCTAAAATTAGGATATCTTTACCTGTGGAAAAAGGGATGAAGAATTCGCTCTTTCTCAGAGCTCCCTTTTTGTCCAAGAAGTGCCCAACATCAAATTGTTCTGGGTTAGGGAATTCTCTACTGTCATACAAAGAGGATTTCAGAGCCGGAAACACAGTAGTTCCCTAGTTAGACAATGACAAGTTCAATGTCGAAGAGATTCTTTTTCAAGAAACAAAGAGAAAAACATTCTGGCAGAAATGCACATACACCAAGGTAAGTCCATTTTTGTGCTAGAATAGTTGATTTGGGGATTGATACCCCTCTAAAACAAATAATATACACCACTGATGCTTTGATATGTATTCTAGAATGATCCTGACTATAACCATCAGAATTCTTAATGAGCAGAACCAACAGAGAATTGTGGGAGTTTCTGCTCAACCAGCATAGTATATACCAGATGGAATGTTATTATTCTGAGATAATTAAAATTGGCGTGGGTAGAATTGCTGTGATGTCTAAGAATGAGTAGGATAATTCCATGTACCGGTATGTAATATGAGAGACTTGAGATTTCATGTTTTAGGTATCACATAGAAACAGCTCTCTTCCTAGTAGCTACTACCAGCCTTTGTGAAATTACAGCCCTCAAAAGTTTATTCTGAATCCTTTAGCAAGGACTATATGGATATAAACATAGGAGAACCCACCAGCCATTCCTAGTGATGCATTGAGACTGGACACAGCCGCAGTGATGTATTACACTGATGTAAATAGTTCATGGACCAATAGTGTTAAATATTTCTGTTACAAGTGCGTGGAATGCTTACTGAGAATCAGCCATCCTTCATCTAAAATCACACATATTTGCATCTCCCAGGATTCCTTTAGGCATGCATCTATCGTCTGTGAAAGGATGCCTTATGGCAGAGTGACCCAATTTGTGATTGAAGCCTGGGAAACAGGATCCTCGTCAGTCAACAGGAATGCTGATTTACCACCAGCCTATCAAGTACTTAGAAAGCGAGGACTGGTCAGCAAAGGACAGCTAATGACTTAAAAACCAGCCATCAACGCACCCCAATCATATCTAAAAAGCCACTTACAACAGGGACTATAAATACCACACACAAAACAGCACACACTCTGCTAGAGAGAAGTTCCCTGAAGATGGGCTCCAGCATGAGTCTGAAAGCTTGGAAGACGAGATCTCTGGTCCCGGTGACTGACCCAGATTGCATCCTGCAACTTTATCCTGGGGCACATATATTCGCCTTCATTCATGAATTTGTTTTGAGCTATGAATCTGACTTTTAAATGACACGCCCAAAGTATTTTTTTTTTAAACAAAAGGTGAAACCAAGCAAAAAGCTAAATTTGATATGTATTTACTACAACTGCAATTTAAGTCAAATGGGTGTATTCCAGAGGTAGTATTCAGCAGGTTCTGACCAGTTCTGGAGAACTGGTAGCAGAAATTTTGAGTAGTTCGGAGAACCAGTAAATACC